GAATAAAATTAATATTTTGAAGATAATAAAATGAAACTTTAAAAAAAATAAAATGCAATAAACAAAATTTTAAAAATAAATAAAAAGTAAAATAAAAATTTATTTGATGTTTTAAAATAGAATCAATTTTACTTTGTTTCATCCATTTATATAGGGTAGGGTGAAATAGTTCCATTTTGTTCTACCATGTTTTTGTCTGTTTTACATAAAAGTTCTATCAAATATGGTACATGGCTCTCGATCGATTCTGTTTTATCCAGTGTACCCAACACACCATGAAAGATACATGAAGATGGTGACGGTGGAGATGAAATTTGGAGATGCTGATGATGTAGATGAAGATGAAGGAGACGCTTTTCTAATCTGGAAGGCCCACAGATGCCTTCCTGATCCCGGGAGTGTCAAATGACGCTCCAAGACTTACTTTATTTCCATTTTCATTGAGGGATCGGGCAAAAACATAGTTTAATTATTTAACACCGGGATCTGTGTCGTCTTGGAGTAACATGGCGGAATTTTTTTTGCGAAAATATTTCCCAATAACAAGGAACGCTAAGTCCAGAAACGAAATCTGTCTTTTTAAACAACTAGATGATGAAGTTGTTCCTGACGCGTGGAAAAGGTTCAAAGAACTGTTGAGGAAATGCCCACACCATGACATTCATACTGTATTCAACTTGAGACATTTTTCAATGGGTTAAATACCATGGCAAAACAAATGTTCGATGCGACTGCAGGCGGAGCCTTCACAGCCGTGACCTATAATGAGGGATATGAAATCCTGGAAAAGATATCTACAAACAATGGGCATTGGGCTGACTCACGTGTCCAGCCACATAAAAAGACTGCTGGAATACATGAGGTAGATGCATATACTGCATTAACAACTTAGCTCATCTCCATGACCAATTTATTGAAAATTTTAACTTCTGGTCAGGGAGTACAGCAAGCTGCTAACACATCTGTTCCAACAGTCCTATCTGTGCAATGTGTGTGCTGTGGTGGGGATCATTTATATGAACATTGTACTTATAATTCTGAATCAGTAAATTATGTTCAAAACAGATCTAATCCTTACTCTAACACATATAATGCCAGTTGGAGACAACACCCGAACTTTTCTTAGAACAATCCTAGTTTAAATCCACCAGTCCATAAACAACAAGGAACATCTAATTTCCAACCACATCATCATGCAAACATTTCTAACTCTCAGAACCACCAACAAAGTTTTCAGAATTCTTAGCTACATTTTCAGAATAAACCTCCTCCACAGATATAATCATCATCTTCTTTGGAAGCAATGATCAAAGGGCTTTTAGCACATGCTCAAGCCCAAAATCAAGCTTTGATTAATCAACAAAGTGCTGCCATCAGGAATTTAGAGACTCAAGTCAGTCAACTTGCGCTTAACCAGAGCAGTAGAGCCGTTGGTACCTTGCCCAGTAATACAGAGGTCCCGAGAGATCTAGAAAAAGAACATGTGAAAGTAGTGACTCTTAGGAGTGGGAAGGAGTTGACAGAAAAAATACCGAAAGATAATACACCAAGACTGTCAGAAACTAGTAATCCAGTAGTAGTCCCTGTCAAAGAAGAACTGGTCCCACCTTTAGAAAAGCAAGCATCTGAGACCACCACTCTTGTTCCCCCTAGATCAGACTTCTCTTTACTTTTTCCAGAGGATACTCTGAAGAAGTCAGAAGGGACTGAGGTTGTAGAGACCCCTAAGCTTGATACTAAGATTCCACCAGAACCACCAAAAAGCAACACAAAGACTCAAGGCATTCAAGATCCATCTTGCTCAATGCCTCCAAGCAAGAATGTGATAAAACCAATCCCTCCTTATGTTCCTTACCCCCAAAGGTTGATGAATTAGAAAGAGGAATTGCATTTTAAGAAATTAGTGGATGTGTTTAAAGAATTGCACATCAACATACCCCTTGTTGAGACAATTGAGCAAATGCCTAGTTATGCTAAGTTTCTGAAGGACATCTTAAGCAAGAAGAAGAAGTTGGCTGAGTATGAGACTGTAGCTCTTACCGAAGGATGTAGTGCACTTTTGACCAATAGCATACCCCCTAAGCTTAAATATCCAGGGAGTTTTACCATTCCTTGTTCAATAGGTGGAAAGGAGATATGGAAAGCCCTATGTGACTTAGGAGCTAGTATCAACCTCATGCCTTTGTCTATCCTTAACACCTTAGGCATAGGAGAAGCTAGATCCACCATAGTTACCCTCCAGTTGGCAAATAAATCCACTGCATACCCTAAGGGAAAGATTGAAGATGCATTGGTACAGGTTGATAAGTTCATATTTCCGGCAGATTTTATCGTATTAGATTTTGAGGCTGATAAAGACATTCCGATTATTTTAGGGAGACCTCTCTTAGCCACCGGAAGAACTTTGATAGATGTCGAGAAAGGAGAGTTGACCATGAGGCTTCAAGACCAAAAGGTCACATTTAATGTCTTCATCTCCTTAAAATATCCTGATTATCTGAAGAATGTTCAGGCATAGCTGAAATAGAAGAAGAGGTTGTTGAGGAAGGAATTCAGAAAAGCCTTAGGTTGGAAGAAGAGAGTGTAGAGGAATTAGAAGAAGAGAAGGTTGAGGAAATAGAGGCAATAGGAAATGATTTTGTGCCAGAAGAGGTGTTAGCTTTTGAACTTTTGGAAAATAATGAACAAAAAGACTTCACCCCGTCCATAGTATCACCACCTGACCTGGAGTTAAAGCAATTCCCATCCCATCTAAAATATGTTTTTCTAGGAGAAGAAGGAAAATTGTCTGTCATTATCTCATCTACCCTAGACTTGCATCAAGAGAAGAAACTAGTGGATATGTTGAAATTGCACAAAAAGGCTTTAGGATGGACCATTGATGACCTGAAAGGGATTAGTCCCTCAATTTGTCAACATAAGATCATCTTGGAGGATAAAATTTTCACATCCATAGAACCTCAAAGAAGGCTGAATCCTATTATGAAAGAGGTAGTAAAAAAGAAGATTTTGAAATGGTTAGATGCAGGAATTATCTTCCCGATAGCCAATAGTTCTTGGGTTAGTCCGGTCCAGTGTGTTCCCAAGAAAGGAGGGTTCACAGTCATCACAAATGAAAAAAAAAAAGAACTTATCCCCACCAGAGTTGTATCCGATTGGAGAATATGCATGGACTATAGGAGGCTAAACAAGGCTACTCATAAAGACCATTTTCCACTACCTTTCATTGACCAAATGTTAGACAGATTAGCCGGCAAATAGTACTATTGTTTCTTGGATGGTTATTCAAGTTACAATCAAATAGTTATTTCTCCCGAGGACCAGGAAAAGACCACCTTCACATGTCCTTATGGCACTTTTGCTTTCAGACGTATGCCATTTGGACTGTGCAATGCTCCTGCCACCTTTCAGAGGTGTATGATGTCCATTTTTTCAGATATGCTTGGAAAATCCATTGAAATCTTTATGGATATTTTTCTGTATATGGTTCATCTTTTGACAACTGTTTGGACAATTTAAAAAAGAGTCTTGAGAGGTGTGAGGAAACTGATTTGGTCCTCAACTGAGAGAAATTCACCTCATGGTTAAGGAAGGAATTGTTCTGGGCATTTAATCTCTAAAAAAGGAGTGGAGGTAGATAAAGCAAAACTCAAAGTTATTGAAAAACTACCAGAACCTACCACTGTTAAAGAAATCAGGAGTTTTTTT